AGGTGCACTGTGCAAGCATCACTGTGAGGGATAACAAATGTTTGGTAAACAAAGTTGTGGGGCTTTGCATGTGGAAAGTAGCAGTTAATTTGGATGAGAGCAAGAAGATGCTTAAAAGGGGCCCTATTGTGCTAATTTTCAGTTTTTATAATTGTAAGTTGTGCCTCTACTGTCACATGTTTTCATGCTTTAATGCTTTATTTTTCTCACGCTGCATGAAGCACCTCTTTTCACCCTCTGTCTGAAACCAGAGCCCAGTCTGCTCTGATTGGTTAGCTGGCCGGCTTGGTTGTGATTGGTTGACCGCTTAGTAATGTCCCGCCCACTAGCCTATAACGCACATGAGTTGGAGCGCTCGCCAGTAGAAGCATGAATGTTACATAGTGATGTCAGTATGTTATGGAAGTAAACAAAGGAGTCAAATTGAGGCGATTCAGGCAGGGGGGTGGGGGGCTGTGCGGGAGAGAAACTCCCTCTGGGGTGAACTTTGGGATTTTAGACTTAGCGGACCATTTAAATGCTCGCAAATTCAACAACACACTGCAGGAAAGGGAAACCCCCCAAAAGCATAAAAGGGCCTCTTTGAAAAACCCTCCAGATTTAAGTGTTGAGTTTCACAATTTAAAAAGTAACTGCTATGATTTATTTCAACAAAAAGTAAAGTGATTGTAGTCCATTTGTAACATGCTATTCCCAACACTGCTCCACATGCACACACACTTTGTACTCGTGCACAAATGAACCCATGCATAGCGAGGCTGATTATGTGGAATGTACTGTATGGCAGGCAGACACTGCTGAGGATAATTCCCTTCCAGCTCTCAGTGGGTAATGTCAAAATGATTATCAGACGAGACAGCTCAGTGGGCAGGCAGCACCTCTTCATTATGGAGCAAGGTTGAGGGGGCTAACAACCTCCAAATTTGGCACATCATGCATGCAGGGTTTGACAGGGAATTCTTTTTCACCTTTATTCTCAGTTTTTGCTGATTATTTGTTTCTTTTGCATTTTTCTTGATCATAAAATAGAAAAATATGATCTCACCATAACATGACCAACGTTTTTTATTTACAGATCTGACATGTTAGCCATGATTTTGACATATTCTTCTATGCATTAACTCATATGTATTTTCATTAAGTCATTGCACATTATTTCATCACTGGAAACGGCTTTGTGAGCATTCAAGATGCTTGATTTCATGAAGGAAATAGCAACAAAGAGTGTGTGCCCGCCCAAGTCACTTAAAACGTGTGTGTATATATGTGTGTGTGTTTCGGAGTGACAGACCTCATTAAGCCGGAGAAATAGCAACTGTATGAGTGTGTACGCTGTATTGTCGTTGTTATAAATATATTAGCCCCCTGTGTCTCAGGTCAAATGCACTTTCATCTCACCTTGACGGACCTTCCACACATGCATGGGTGCACACACACAAACTTGAACACACCCACACGGCCATTGCACCACAGGGACTTCACATTAGGGACATTTCTGCTCATATGATTGACTGCTTCGAATAAAGGACCTTGGAAAAACATCTGGGCAAGTGAGAAATACGTCCCCGTGGCTGCCGTCGTATGAAGGAGAAAGATACTGTGTGTGTGAGACAGTGAGAGCAAGCGCCAATGTGTGTGTTGAGTGATCTCCAGCGCTACACAAAGACCTGCCAGACTGCTAATGTGTGTATATGTGTGTAAACGTGTGTCCTTGCCAGCCACTTGACATCACACGGCCCTCTCATGGCAGCCTTCTTGGATCAGTAGCAGAATGGATAAGGCTATTTAACAGCAGCTTATTTGGTCTGGGTCATACCCCCTGTTACAGTTTAATGAGTGTAGAGGGTGGCTGCTACACGGAGGAAAAAGAAAGCGAGTAGTTTTATCTGGCCATATGCACCTTGAGCTCAAAAAAGTGATTTAAAACATTACGTTTCGACAGCCATGAGGTCAGGACCTGGACATAAGGAGAATATAAAGAAAATCTATATTTGCTATTAAAGTGGAAAAGGATAATTTCTATCAATAACAATATCAACTTTGATAGCAACTATCAAACGGAAAGTGGACTTTACACTCCCAAAATCCATTTATAAGATGATTAAAAAGAGAAAAAACAACAATAAAAACATTGCAATTTCAAAAACATGTATTGTAATTGAGATTTTAATGAAAGGGAATTGCTCTTAAGGGTATTTTTGCAGTAGGAAAGCAAAGAGAAGCAGTTAATATTTCAACTTAAAAAAACACCAAAACAATATAAAGGTGAATCCTGCTTTAAAACAGCACTTCCATTTTAAACAAGCAGCCCACTAAATACTGCATCAGCACCATCTTTTGACTGCAAAGTACTTCCTGCACCCCCTTTCCTGCACAACTCCTACGATAACCTGCATCTTAAGAAATAAAAATAGCATAAATGTCATAATCAGCCCACATATAACAAACACACAAAGCAGACAGGTGTAGATGTGCATAACTACAAATGCACACAGATAGAGAAAAGCACACCCACACAGACACGCCTACATTCTGACATACTTACACAAAGACCCATAGATTCACAGACACCCACACGATCACGCCTAAACTGACAGCTAAGGTTCTGCTGAAGGTCACTCATAATGATTAAAGAGACACCCCTGCAATGAATTTTCAAATGACCCTGGGGACGCGTGGACCACTGACACCTCTTCAATAGAAAATTACTTTATCACGCCCTGGGATACCTGACTTTAGACTGACTTTAGACTGACACAGTGACGGTGGCGTAGACGACGAGACCGTTAAGAGCAGCAGACTTCGACAGAGCACAAAGCCAGATGGGGAGACCTAATAGAGTCACAAAAAGAATGTCATGCAGATATGAAGATGTACAGGCGTGTAGCAGGCGGACACAGTCAAAACACAGAGAGGCAAACAAGCAGGCGTGTATGGAAACACACGCCTGTCCATCTATCCAAGAACTATCCCAGTCAGCACCAGTGGGAATATGTGGCCCCAGTGCAATCCCGATCCCAATACACTCACACACACAGAAACACACACACACACACACACACACACACACACCCTGCAGCTCTTTTCCTCATGTCGCTGATACAGAGGTTTTGGTAATAGCCATACTGATGGTGCAATGGCTAATTTCACCTTCATACATGTATGTGTGTGTGAGTGCAATAATCACCTGGAGCCATGCAGGCAGCGGATTCCCCCAGAGATCAGCCAGGCTTGATTTGACATCCATCCACACACACACACACACACACACACACACACACACACACACACACACACACACACACACACACACACACACACACACACACACACACACACACACACATGATATTTACATATAAACTACTGTAGCACTGTAAGAACGTTCACAAATGATTCAAGGTTAACGCTCAAATCATGAAACGTGTGATTTTGAGATTTTCTTTCTCGCAAAAGGCCATTAAGTGGTTATTTTCTATTGTAAAACCTGCCAAAAGAAATCCTACATAGTGGCAATAAACCACACGGTATGAATTTGTATGCAAAATCAGATATACCATTGTTGTATAGTATGCTAATTGTTAGCAAGGCTTTCACCCTTGAGCGAGCACACAACCCGAGTTGCTGACATCAGCAGCTAATGCATCTGACAGACACATCATTGCCGGGTCTTGCATCATCAGGTTTAAAACATCATGCATTTTACAATACTTCAGTGCTTATAATCACTGTAGCCCCACCATGAACTGTATTCTACTCGATTGTGTTGTCAGCTATGAAGCACCGTTGACAATACATTTCACCAAATAGCTCAGCACATAGATGGGGACGATGTTATTGAGGCTAGCCTTCTTTACTTTACCAGGGCAGTATTGGATTTGCTTGGTGGATCAACAACTGCCTCTGGGTTTTATTCTCAATTTGTCTCCCTCTACCCCGCCCTCCCTCCTCCCCTTTCAGTCTCAATTTAGACAAAGAAAAAGAGTGCTAACTAGCTCCCTTGTTACCCTGACAATTTGGTATTTCGATCAATACACCATGCCTAATTGCATTGCCGGGAAACGTCTTTCCGGAATTATGTTGTTTAGCTGAATAGCTCATTACATAGTAACGAACAAGGGATATTAACACAGACGAAACACAAATCCCAACAAAGTATGTTAGGCTTCAAAACAGTTCACATTATGTAGTTTGGTCTATTAACTGGTTAAAATGAACAGTCGGAACAGTAACAGGGATACGACTTGCACTCAGCTGCATCCACATATACCATTACATGGAAAAAACATTACCTTACTATCACCTCACCATTTACTAATTAACACCAAATAAATAATTATTGAGGTTGACGAAAATGCTCTAAACATATTTGGTCATAAAACAAAGTATTGGAAATATTTAAATTTGGACCTGATGTTGGCACTAAATTGGAAGTGAATGGATCACCAAAGTTATCACATTTAATGATACAATTATATAAATGATATGAATGTCTGAACAAAATCCTAGGGGGACCCATCCAATTGTTCCAAGAAGATATTTGACCTGATAGGTACACAAATTGAACTTCTGGTGGCACTAGATGAAAAGTCAATGGGCCACCAAAGTCAGTTGGATTCAGCCAATGGAGACCATGAATGGCTGTACCCAATGAGCAAAATCTATCAATCAGGTGTTAAAATATTTCAGTCTGCTCCAAAGTTAAGTTACCAACTCATTGTCAGACATAGAGCCAAGCTGCTAGAATGACTTGTTGTCAAGTGGCGTATCTGTGTGTTTGATAGCTATTAGTACAACTTCAGAGCACACATATTTCTATGTTAGGTCATTAGCCCTAGTTAGGATGGTTCCATATGCATAGGTTAAAACAATATCTAATGAAACCTGTTGTGTATATCATGCAGGGACCCTAACTGTCAGGTTATAAGACAATAAAAGCTACCTCAACAGTTGATGTTTTAAAAGTTTTATTGCAAAAATATAGAATTTTATAACACACTACAAAAACATCAACACAAACATAATACATGACAGTCTCAAAGACAAACCAATAGCACATCAATATTATCTTTACTGTGCTTTCAAAGAATCACAAAACAGTTATTCATAAAACCTTATGAGTGAATTACTGATAAATTGATTGTTGTCTTTGACCTGGGGAAAACCACCGAAAATAACCGCAAACCTGCTTTAGCATGTTGATATTTTGAGTGAAAGCTGCACATGTTCCACTTTGACCACATTTCCATGAGCTAATAAATGTACCCATTTAACGTTTTTTAAAGATACCAACACTATTATTTTAAAATCCAGTCAGATGTCAGTGCAACCTTTTATGGTTGTTAAATTGCCATGCACTTGTGTGTGCATATATGTTTTTTGAAAGATAAGAAATGAAGTATTGCTTTTGTACATTTGGTGGAATCCAGTCAAACCTCCTATTCGACGGTTTATGCGGTGCTTTCAATCAAAAATGTCAATAAGTACACCTGCAAGTACTTGTTCTGGAAATGTCTGTTTATATTGGTGTGAATACATTAGATTACCCTCTTCTGAAAGCCATATTCAAACTACAAAGTTGTTGAATCAGATGTAACATTAAACATGTTGGTAATGTATTTGACACTAAAAACGGGCTCCTGCATAACACCTTACTGCATGTTTGATGAGAGATACAGCTGGAAGTCATTGGAGAGAAACAACACACCAAACATCTTTACAAGTCTCTGCTGGTTGGCTGTGCTTTGTTTCTTCCAGTTGTTTAACAAAGAGACGACCAGAATAAAATCACGTCGTTGCAAAAGTGCTGACAGTAAATCACTTGAATTAATGAAGATGTTTCACGCAGCAACAACTATCAACTAAGCTGTATCGTTTCCAGTGACACATCAACACCTGCTTTTTACAAGTGGTAATGCAAAAAATGCCACAAACACCACAGTTTGTTGACATCGAGGGCTAGTGCTATTGACGCGTGTACAAAGTCATATGGTTCGTTGACCGTCCTTTAAGATTCCTATCCGACCCTGTGTTTACGTTCTGAAGGTGTATCGTTGTGCCGTACACAAGAAAATGGTGCTCTACATCAATAACGCTTTTCCATATATATAGCTCTGATTTGTCTTTAAAAAATATCACCAATGCTTTGTGCTTAACTGTCAAATTTAAAACTATGGGAAGCATTGAGCATATGAAGTGGGAATACTGTAATTATATCTATGTATTAAATCATTAACAGAAACTTTGACACTGAAAAGTCAGTCACCTATAGACATTTTTAGTCAAACAAAAAGGGCACAAGATTTCTAATAAAGTGCAAATTAAATTAGTTCCAACATACACATTGTCTGACATTCTTCTTTTTGCCTGTAGATATTGTTGGCAAAAAGCAAATTACATAGAAAGTTGGGGCACAATTGGGGCATAGCATTTTGGCAGGGGAGGAAAAAAAATGGTGCTCGTAAGATGAGAGGCACTTATAAGTGTGTACTATTCACCAATTGTTCATAACCCAGGTGTGGGCTTTAAGTTGAAAATTAAGTTTATTGTAAAAAAGCCGACAACATGACATTTGGGAGGGATCAGAACACTGTGAAAACGTCATCAAACGCCTGCGGTATTGATCAGCCAGCACAATTACTTTCTCTGTACATGCCTTTTACTGTCTATAAAAGATTCACCATATTGTTGATGCTTTCCCGCTCAATTAAAGATCTGCATAACCATGATACATGTTTGAATGCCAAAAGTAAGACTCACTTTTGAGTCTTGGAATGAAACTTGGTTGAATAAAAATGTACAATTTGGCTTAATAGAGGGACATACCCACATATTTTCATGCTAAATAGCTATTTTGGCGGCCATTTTTCCCAGGATCTAGTACAATCCCACACACATTGGCGCCAAACCTCCAAAGTGATACTTCTAGACTAAAATGACTATGCAGATGTTTATCTTTCAAGCAAACTTTCACTTTGGTAGAACATTTAGACTTTTAAAAACAGATGCCCATAAAGAATACAAATTGTGACCATTCCTCACTGACAATCTGTTATAAAACCAGTCAAGAAACATGATCATGATCTTGATCAGGTGGCAAGTAAGGTGGCTTTTTTCCACCAATGAGGCTCTCTATTTAACTATTCGAGGGACATTTCCTGCAAAAAAAGTGAAATACCCCTTTAAAACCTTACAATCTTCTTCTGTGCTTTTCTATACTCTTCCAACAGTCAGGAGAAACCACTTCTTAAAAAACTAACTTTACAATCTCATTTCGTTTCCACTCTTAAGCCACAGCACTAGCAGTACACTGCGTATTACCAAGAAAAATATTAGTATGTCATCTGCAAAGAAGATAAATATACCGTCAGAACTAATTTGCCGCTCAGGTGAACAAAAGGGGGAAGGGTCAAGTTTTTATCAATAAAGCACCGAGGAGCAATGTTTGACATACCAAAGAGAAGTAAAGCAAGGGATTGGTCATTGACATCATTGTATACCTTTAAACCATACCAGACGTACATATATCCATCCCTGTGCCCACACTTGCAAGTATTTATTGCTGTCTCATTGAGGGCCTCTGGAAATATTTCTAACCAAAACTTGAAATTAAACACAATTACCATCAACAAAACATGAATATTTGATAATTCTGCTAACCTTTTGGGCACCCATATATGAAGACAGATGTGCTGGTTGCCCCCACCTCAGAGTGCCAGAGTAGCAGGAATGCTGATTCAGAATAATTGTCACTATTTACTAATGAGATGCTTGATCAATACCAACTTGTCCACAGGATGGTAGACAGAAGAACAATGCCCCCTGCTTTAAATATATAATACATTATATACATGAAAGACATGTAGGCAGAGCTGCTCAGTAGTCCAAGAGAGAGTATAACGATGAAACAAACACCATTTTACTCATTTTTTTTAAAACAGCAATAAATAAATAAATGATTATCAATATTGCCTCCTTTTTCTTCAGCAGTTCCGTAAGAATGAGGTTTATTGTGGTGTGGCAGACAGGTAGTGGAGAGAGACTACTGCTTGGTGAACTGAACAGATTGCTGAGGGTTTCCTGCGGTACCTGAAGGTTGTCGGTTGTAAGTGAAGGCTCCATAAAATCTGAGTGCACTCTTGAGTGAAGGCTGCATTGGAATCCTAGTAGAGATATCATTAAAATCTGAGCGAAGGGTTCCATAAAAATGACAGTAAACAGTACCACCAGAATCGGGGCGATCCTTTCCATGATAATCTGAATGGAAGTTCCTTAATCAATCACTAGAGCAATCGTCCATCCGGATTGATCAAACAGTACTTGACTTTCCATATGAATCTCCCAGCTGAATCCTCCTTGAAGTTCCTTGAAAAATGACGTGATATTTCCATTAGAACATGGCATTTTCAATGTCCATTGTAGAACGTGTATGAAGGTCCATCAGAATCTAGGAGAAGGATCTATCAGTATCAGAGAATTGGTTCCAGTAGATCTCAGTTCTTTCTATACCTCGAGGTGAAGTTGACGATGTTGCTAGAGCGAAGGGTTGTCCGGCATCCGAGTGAAATTCCCAATAAAACATGCGTAAAGTATACAGTTAGATGAAGCCATTTTAAATCAGAATCTGTGTGGTTTAGGACTTGATAACTTAATGAGTTTTTCAAAAACCCATCAAGGTCTTTTTGGGAATTTCTACACAGTTTCAGAGCAAAGATGACAGGATGCCAGCTCAATGTCTTCTACAATCATCAGATTCATTCAGAAGCTAGATTTAGGACCAGAATGGTTCTATCCTCACATTCTGACCTATTCGATAGCATTTGAATACCAAGTTGATGGTGCAACCAAGCGTAATGTGTTGTATAGTGCTATACATTCAGCCAGAGAAGTCATTATTCGTAAAGACCTGTATCTTCTCATGGTTTTTCTAACTTTGTTTCGATTAGACCAAGACGGGTCACTTGTCAAAGACTGTTCTATTATATATTCAGTCTCTTTCAACAATGAAGTTGTTCATTTTGTAATCTTGTCTTGCTTTAGAAGATAAGAGCGTATATGATGCTAAATATGAGTCTGGTGCTTGAATAAGAGGTACAGCTGTGTTAAAAATGAAGTCCTGTTGCATGAAGACCTGTCTGAGTCAGGAAAACAAAATCCAAAGCACATCAGCATGGCAAAGCAAAGACTGAAGCTAGTGATCACGTTGCTCTTGAAGCATTATTACATTGTCCCCACCTGAGAATGGCGATCAGCTCAATGACTCGTGATGGAACTCCATTTCCAGAGAAAATTGTCAGACAAAATGTTCAGATCCACTGGGTTCAAATCACCTGAAACAGGCTGAGAAAGTTCAGTTTGAGCCTGCTGCGTGAAACTCCCGTATTTGTTATAGAGCCAAAAAGTGCTGGTTGCTCTCAGAGCCAGATCTGCAGGCTATGATTCATGTTTGATCTGAGAGAATCCAAACAGAGACTTCACAACTGAATATTTAAAATGAAAAATGTTGCCCCACGCTCTCTTTCCTCGGTGAAGCACCACTCAGTTCAGTTCAGTTCAGTTTGGTTTAACTGCTGCAATTTCAAATCCCCCCGATGACACCACAAGCAAACTCCACACACACCAACCACCAATGTGTGGATTCTCCAGTTTAGATCCATAAACATCGGGTGCCTTTGTCCGTAGAAAGTGCTAAGCTGCTTTAGGTCCAACAGCAAATCTCAGTCTTTTTCGTCACATACTAGGTCCATATACTGTGTGTATTTGTGTGTGTGCGCATGCCTGTACATATGCATCAGATGTTTACAGTAGAGTTGGTGCTGTTCATATGGACTCTCATCTCTTGAATGCTAGTGATGATTTTTTTTTGATGACCGGCAAGGTTCACTCCTACTCTTCGGAGATCCCTGAAAAACAGCACAGAAAAAACAAGGCCTTTATTTATCAAGCAGTCAGCTAACAAATACAAAACAACAGAATGCAACTGATAAGAAAATCCCTTTACTTACAAAAAAAGTGATGTTAAGCTTTTATACAATCAGCATTTTGACACTATTTGTATTGATGTTGTAGCACAGTGAAAAGCAAGAGAATAAATGTGTTATTTACTCACAAGGCAAGCTCTCAGGTATCGGGATAATAGCAATATAAAATAATGCCGTTATTTATAAGTCATACTGAGACTTAGTTATCAAGTTATTGATAAGTCATTCTGAGTAACTGTAGCTATTTGTATGTATCTGTACATTGTGCATATTGTTTCGATCTTCACAAACCTTTTTTTGACAATTTTTATTGCTCCTCTACATAAAAAAGCAGCAATGATAAATTATTTCAGTTTTTCTAAGTGCTGCATTTTAGTCTGTATCATGCTAATTGACTTCTAAAATCAACTTCCTACCACAAATAAATAGTCCCTATAAAAGATGATGACAAAGAGGTGTATTCACTTATTCAAAAATACATACTAGTGCTTCTTCATGCTTGTATTTGTATAAGTGGCCTTACTCTGAAGTCATCTGAGCCACTGTCTCCAGTGAAGAGTAACCTCCTTCCATGAAGAGCTCAGTGTAGCGCCCCATCTTGATGGAGTCGAGCCACTCGCCCACCGTCTGACTCCGAGCGCTGCAGCTCCCCTCCACACTGGCATGCTCCACTAACAGGTTGGAAACCCTGAGGAGATGAAGAGCAGAAAAAGAAAGCGTAAGACAGTAATCAAATGTAAGCATGTATTTTTTCAGGGAGTATTCATTGGCACAATTTAAAGACTTCATTCGCACCAGCCCTGTTTAACATTATCATATAAATACTAAGGAACGGTGCAATCAAATACATTTTGAGGCCCAGGGCTGAGCTCCGAAGTCCTGACAGTGATGCTTCATTATGCACCATCACGCAAAGCTGAAAACGCTGTCCACTCAAAACCCTTTGTGATTCCGCTCACTCTCCACGCTATCAAAGAGACACGCTCATGCAAGCTAACAGCATTCTCCACGCTGTAGCTAGGACAGGAGAGAAGTGTGGAACAAGGACAGGCGTCTCTTTAATCTGGCTAACTGTCACATGTTACTGCATGGGCTGTTAGATATGGCATTAAATTATTAACCCTGTTCCTGTGTCTGTTTGTGTGTGTAAGTGGGAAAGAGAACAATTTCACATCACTTCATTATCTGTACAAAGGAAATATAGTAATGAGGCTGTCTGGCTAAATGCCTGCTGCCTAGCGTTTATAGCCGTTTCATGCCATTATACACTAATGTAATGCATGTACATAGTGGGGAAATACTAATTGAATATTCCACTGTTACGATTATCAGAAGATACCCCACTGAATACAACACACATCCAATTCACACTAATGTGGAGTTGCTGAGAAATTGAGCAATTTTCATTTATTTCTCTCCTCTTCTTTGCCGGCATGCGGCCGTTAGAGACTATGTCCATCCGATTTTATTATGCAGCCACACGAGTCTTCAATGGAGACTCATTTTACATTTAATTTGAATTGTTACATCTATGAGCTTGCAGACCTGGGTTTAAGAATGAAAAGTTCAATTCAAACAATGCATTTTCTAAGATAAGAAAAGTCGGTGAAAATACAAAAATTCATATTTTCTTGAAAGTTTTTTTACTAGAATTGATAAATAAGTCCTGAAATATTAAAAAATATTCACAAAAAGACTAACATTTAAATACATTTATATGTTATTCAAATATCATATTATATTTGTATATATTGTGCGGGGAAATCTTACCTGTGTGAGGAGTTCACCAGTTTTTTTAATGAGCTGGGATTGCGTATGAGTTTGTCTAGCAGACAGACGATTTCATCAAACTTGGGCCGGTTGCTGCGCTCTCGCTGCCAGCAGTCCATCATTAGATGGTACAGAGCCTCGGGGCAGTCCATAGGACCCGGCAACCTATAGCTCTCCTCCACTGCCTTTATTACCTGCGAGAGACAAATGGGATGGAGAAACACAAAGAGAGAGGTTAGGATTTAAAAAGAAAAAGTGGTACAATAAATCAGGAAAGAAGTACTAACAAATGAGTCGTCAATTGTCATGTCTCAACCCTCTCCTCAAAAACATATTATGTATTTACAAAAAACAATTATACTTCGGATTCCCATTATTTATTACCACATTAACATATGCTTCCTCGGGTCTACATTAAAAACAACACTTACACACAATATCAACAAACCCAAATGAAATAAAAAACATTTCTCTTACGTCAATAGTTCATAAATAAATCTGATAAAATCTATAATGTAAAAAGGTATTTAATAGTATCTGTAACTGCAAAATACTAATTGTTCACTGTTCAACTTAAACCAAACAGGGTGTTATCATCATAGAGCAATATTTAGCCATGCAGCTGTTCCATCTTTCAAATCTGACAAAATGATTTAGAAGTGTCCCCAATTTGAGTCTGCATTGTGCGTTTTTGAGGGCATACGATGATGCAACATGCACCAGAGAGACCTCCATTAATACCTTTGAAAAGATGAAAGAAAAAGAGAAATCTACTGCATGGAGAGGACCGATCTTGTTTGACGCATAACCATGTAATAACTTTTTCCCAGCAGGACCACAACAAACTATTAAAGTAGAGTTCCTTCCAAATCTCCTCTGAATCCGGGTGTTTTGCTTCAGGGATGCTGCTGCCTTCTAACTGACCCTACGCTGAAACCTCCGTGAAGTTAAAATCAACTCCCCTGCGAGGATCAACAAAGCATCATTCGTGTATTTGATCCGCTGCATGGCCAAGTTAATCATTTCCGCAAGATGCAGCACTGAATCACAGACATTTCGTTTTCTTTGGGGGGGGGGGCTAAAATTGAGTTTAGATGAATAATAAATAAACCGCGGCTCTCTCTGTTAGACCCCGCATTGGAAGGCACGGCTGGAGTTATTTCAGCCTAGTTCTGCCAGAGCAAGACACTGCAGGGAATTGATTTGTCGAGTTCATGACAGCCTTTGCTCGAGTCAAATTCTCACAAAAGACAGACGTGATAGGACTCTCACACACACGCACGAAATGAAAGGGAACGTAAGCTCGAAGGGAGAAAGAAGCATCACATCGTGCTGAGAGAGGAGAAGAACTACACATGCTGACTGGCAGGGAGGAAAGATCAGAGGAGGTAAAGAAAAGACAGAGTGGGCGAGAAGGAAGGAAAAGAAAACAGACAGAGATTGCACATTTTAGGAGACAAAAAGAGAGGGCGAAGGAGAGGAGGAAAAAGGGGTAGAAATGAGAAACAGAAGGAGAGAGCTTAGGGAAAGAGAGGGTGAGAGCCAGAGACTTTCTGCCGCAGATCAGAGAAAATCCAGCATAACGCTTTCAATTAAACATCAAACGCCTTCTCCTCTGCTCTCCTCTCATCTTCAGCTCCTCTCCTTCCTCCTCTCCAGACTTCTCTGAGACAGACGGCCTAATAACCAGAAGGAGGAGGGAGGGGCCTGAAGGAGGGGATGAGGAGGTCACCGGAGGGGTGTGCGTACATATGTTGCCTGTGTCTATGAGTGTGTGTGTGTGTGTGTGTGTGTGAGAGGGTGGGTGGGAAATGCTACATTCTCACTCATCGGTTAGTGACAGGATGGCAGTTTTCCTCATTAAAATGACCTCAGGGCTGCAAATTGAAGTAGGTGCTACCTGCCACCCCCGTTTGTCTTCATCACCTTCTCTTCTTCATCTTGATGAGTAACTAACTGCCAGCAGTAACCACACATTTACGTTTTATTCATTTTGCCAAATATTTCTTAAATTGCTGCTTCTTGAAACCTTAGCCTCTAATGTGTTATATAAACCTATTATTTATATATATATTTTTATACTTAACCCACATAAACGAGCATATACACCTTTAGAGAATGCACAAATGTTGTATAACTTAATATGAAAATTACAAAATATTAATATGGTAAAGAATGTATATAATAAAAAATAAAATGTGGGGGATTTTATGAAAAATATGAAGTTGTGAGAATTTTTTTTTTTTGACTTTGCATGAATGAAAATCAAGGTAAAAAAACACAACATTCCAAAAGATGTGAGGCTTACAAAAACACAACATGATAAAGAAAAAATAGATATATCCGATACAAGTTATCAACGATGAATGCCATTTCCACAAATACCTATAAAATCAAAACATAATCAAATGTATGCCTGGGTGTAAACAGCATTCATGTGTGTCTGCTATGCTATAAACAAAAAAAATACCCACTGTGGCTATATACACCCCGGGATGAAAGAAAAGCCTCCTGTTCAATTTGACCAACAGCTTTACCCATAAGGATAATGGGTATATATATAAAAGCCTGTTATTTCCCCTACTCCTGTTTTTCTGCTTAGCTCAGCACCTCCATGTGTTTTCACCTGTCTCCCTCCTTTTGCTTACGCACACCTTTCCCTACACCCTGCCATCTCGCTGTTTGTTTCCATTAAGGTTTTTCCTCTTCATTGTCCACACTTTGCAGTAATATATTTATAATAACAGCTTACCGCATAGCACTCCCTATTTCAACCTCCATTTCTGACAGGAAACACGTTATATTTCACCTTACAGGTTTTTTTTCTTCCTATGTCTCCGTCGGCAATTAATACATTCCCAATAAAACATTGCATGGAGCTTTGCGTCAACATTTTTTACTTTTATAGAAATAAATCATTTGATGTTGTCAACTTATAAACTGATTTAGCTTTGAATAAGTGATTTATCATTGTATCCCAGATCAAAAAAGACTTAACACAATAACTTGATAATTGTTTGTTGAATAAATATATATTTTCCACTATATATCGTTTTTAAAAGTATATTTGGATGTTTTTTGGGATAATATATTAAATTGCAGCCAGGTTTATTGTCACAAGACATTTTCACATGCATCATTATAATATAACTAGTTTCACTATAACAGTAGCTTAAACTTATCTTTTATTTAATGATAACTATACGAACAAATACCAATATACCTGTAATCATGAAAAACAAAGACTTTGATTTTCCTCGTTTTTGTCTAGTTTTTTTTAACTGATTGATGGATTTTTATTTTTTTATTTGTAAGTATTACTTATGTTTGTTGTAAATACTTTTAGTTTTCTAGATACTTTTGGTACCCACTGTGAACATTTGTATAATAATAAAAAAAACAATAATGACTCTTGTCTCAACCCAAAGGCTAAAAAGTCGGTCCTAGTTGAGGATCAAACTTCATTCGCTGAAAACAGCAGGTTTTTTCCCTCAACGTCTTTTGAAAGACTCTTCAGGAAAAAGTTTTACATTTCAGGAAATATACTCGTTCGTTTACTGGCGGAGAATTAGATGAGAAGATCAATAGCCACAGCCGGGAGACCGAGATAAACAGCTAAATTGGCTCTGTCTAATGGCAACAAATGTCTACCAGCACCTCTGAAAGTGACTAATGAGATATACCATATATTTCATTTGCTAATTGCCAGACCATGTCTTCTTGGCTCTTGAAAGGTTGCCAGGCAACTCCAGGAAGTTATATAGTATAATCTGGTACATAATCCCCATGTAAAACGTGAAATTGACAATGAATTTCTATGGATTAAACTAACAAGATATTGTGTTAATTAGAGGAAAGACAATGCCAATGAAGATCTTGTTGGATTGAAAAGCAGCAAAACAGTTACTAAAATGTTTCATGGCTATTGTATAATCCTGCTTTTTTGCATACACCCCTGGTTGAACACTTGCTTTCAATTTTAAATTATGGGGTGAATAGTTCAAACTGAAGAATCATACAGCGAAATTAAATCAAACTTACATCTTGATTGGACATCTCCCAGTACGGCCTCTCTCCATATGACATCACTTCCCACATGACGATCCCGTAACTCCAAACGTCGCTGGCCGAGGTGAACTTCCTGTAAGCGATCGCCTCGGGAGCCGTCCAGCGAATAGGAATCTTCCCACCCTTTGAAAAAATGTAAAGAGATGAATTAAAAAAAATAAAACTGAAACTGGGTTTAGAAAATGTAACTCTTACGTGTTTTGGTGCTTGAAATGAATAGCTCTGATAAGTTTACATCGACATCAACTCAATGCTTTACAACAAAAACGATCTTTTGGTAAAGACATACAGCTGCAGGCATTGAACATTTTCACATTTTGTTGCACAAAGAACAGACCTTAATTGAGACACTTCTGCTCCATGTGGTCCAACCGACAATTACACTAATGAATACCAATTAAGGAACACATTCATGAAGCAGAGATTCACTTTCAAATTCCCTGTCCCAACTGTCGGGGGGGTGTGACATTCCTCTGCTTCATTATCGCTCTTTCATTGGAAAGATAGAAAAGTTCACAGGATGACTGCTGAGTTTCCAGAAGAAAATGCGTGTTCGGCTGATGAGTGGTGAAATTAGCTTGATGCAGTATTGATGAACACAGCAGCGGGATATCTCAGGGTCTGACTATTTGAAGGGTGTGAATTACATTATTCGCACTGCTCTGTCAGAGAGTGGGAGAGGAGAAGAAGAGATGTAGCCAGCCACAGTGAGAGGCGAATGACAGGATATTTGGCGCTAAGGCAGCACGACTCGCTGCTAATTGAGTGTTGCAGAGACCGAGCGAGCGCTAATTGGCCCGCCTCCTGCAGGAAGCAGCCGGTCTCTGGCTGACAGGACGCCACTAGGCCTGGGACACACAGCTTCATTTAAAACCCGCTGCTGCCGCCTTTGAGTGTGTATGTGTGAATGCAAATATATGTGTGTGTTGGTTGTAGCTTTCAACTTAATCAAAAGTTTGTTATATCGCAATTCACTGTACACATACACAGATACACACCAGATTGAATATAAATAACTTCGAAGACACAACATGGGGTCATGTAATTTACTTAGACTTGTTCTCTCTGTAACACTAATAATAATAATAATAATAATGCATTTTATTTATATAGCGCTTTTCACAACTCAAAGACGCTTAAGTGCTCTACTAGCACACTAGTGCTCAAAAACGATTGATGTACAGATCTATACATTAGTCTCAAATATCCACTTGCATGCCAATCAAATTCTTCAACTTAGTGTAAAAGAGCTTGAGTGCGAGTAAAGAAAACAGAAAAAAAAAAAATCTCTCTACTGTAATTATCACTTACAACGGTTTGGCTTTAGTGGAGTTAATGCTGGAGAAATTAATCTGGTTGGGTTATAGATAGGAAATCTACCTGCTGGATTCTTGCTTTGAGTTTGAGTCGCTTTGGATAAAAGCTAAAGAAGGAAATTAAATGTAATAAAGTCCACAGTTTTAAACACCTGCAAGTTGAAAAAAAGCTGTCCTAACTCACAGAAACGTTTCAAAAATGTTTGTCTATACCAAATATAGCTCTTGGAAATAATCTGTATCTGCAGGTTCTGCACCTGTACAATGAATCAACCTTCAGAACTTTGATGTCCTGCTGAATTGGGGTCAAACTTGGACAGAGATTTGTAGGCTGGATTACCTGAAAATCATGTATGGATAAATTGACAATGAAAATAACAAGTAGCTGCAGCCCTATTACATACACCAACATGCTCAGTCTTACCCGTGTGGTGTATGTAGCCTCTGCGTCATCTTCCAGGACTCGGGACAGGCCAAAATCTGACACTTTAGACACCAGGTTACTGTTGACCAGGATGTTACGCGCTGCGAGATCACGGTGAACGTAGCCCATGTCGGAGAGGTATCTGCATGTATACAGACAAAGGAGAGGTTTAAATCCAAGCACTGTGTCCTAAGGATGCATTCAGTAATACATTGTGTGTTTGCGTACCTCATGCCAGAGGCAATTCCCCGCAGCATCCCAACCAGCTGGATTACAGTAAACTGGCCATCGTTTTTCTGAAGGTAAGAACAGAAAGAAAACTGTTTCTTTAGATAAACAACTTCATACCGTCTATGAAAACAGTTCAAAGTAATGGCCACGTCATGATAATGAGTTCAAAAGTGGTTTGACATCAGAAGTGTTTGGAAAACTGCTGGGTAACAATGTGGTTCAATGCAGGTTATTTTCTATAATGTTTCCCATGTTTAGATTGCAAAACTCAACTTGCAATATAAAAAGAAAAAAAGATAGAGATCATGTATGACCTCTGGAGAAATGATGGCCAAGCATTCCATTATCGATGTTTAAAAAGTGCCTTCAAGCTATAAAGCCACAAAGCCACTCATGCCACAAAGCCAATTACAGTAAGTAATAGTATCGCAACACAGACCTCTGCAAAAGCATCCAACTTCAACTCACAGCTTTATGGGAGTGAAAGATTGTATAGGGGGAACACATTATTGCATCTTACTCTCCTTGCCTCTCATTCCCAAAAATTACAAATAATCAAATAATTACAAATACAGACAAAGGTCGTTGCTGCTCTGCTGTCCATGTTTTATTAAATCGCCCTGCCCTCGAGCAAGTCGCGGCCACTTTCTCATTCCTTCTTTCCCTCTAGTGGGACCTTCAAATCTCCATACCCCAAGTTAGTAATTAGGGCTTTTTAATAACTAAGCAAAAAATGATTATGGGGCAAAGAACCTTTTGCCAAGGACAGAATGTTCTTTCTCTCTGCCACTGTATGTTTGTCAGGAGGTATTTCCTTGAAGGGATGTAAACGAGTTCTCCACTCATTTACAGGGTTCATACACTTTTTCACCAATGATTTTCAATGACTTCTCCATGACTTTTCAATGATCTTTACCTCATTTTCCATGACCGAAAAAAAATTACTCTTTCTCAGCGGTACCACTGAAAATGGTTTATTTTAACATGGAACAGGAAAATAAGGTCTGCAAGCATATGAAACATGTTGTGCCTATCTAAAACAAATCAAATAGTAGGCTTACTAGCTTCTACACGCTAAAGCAACTGTACTCAGGGATGAAAACTCATCAGGTATGAAAAGGTGACAAGGATCCGAGCCCCCCCACCCCACGGAATATCGGCTTTAAAATTAGGAATAACAGAGGATTTTAGCAATCAGAACAACTAAAGCAGCTGTTAATAATAAAAATAACACCATGCGCGTCATGATGGCACATAACAGCTCGCGACCGCAGATTATTTAGCCGATTAGATAAAAATGTAAATTATATTTGACGCAACTTTAGTTACATTTCCATGACTTTTCCAAAACTTTGGGAAAAATATTGTTTTCCATAACTTTTCCAGGGCCTGGAATTTTCCAGGTTTTCAATGACCGTACGAACCCAGCATTTAGCATTGCACTCTTATAACACTGTTACTCTTTTAAAGAAATTGATGCAGCAGAACGTAAGATTTCTTAAGTCTTTTTTATCCCAGACATTCTTCTTTCTTGTCAATACCAACACCCACAATGCAACTGAATGCAACCCGTTTTAGGGTGTTATGCTAGTTACAGCTAATGTAGCTTTGAACCATTAACCTCAAACAGGAAGCCAGGGTAAGCCAACCAGAGGCCAAATAGATCAGGTTATGCCTTCAACATAGCCAGAAAAACGTATTGACGACTATAATATAGGTACCTGCAGGTAGAGTGTGACATTGCGTAACAATGGCCACCTGTTTTCAGGATTACCGGCTGATAGAAAAATGGGCTTTCCTTAAATTGAGACATTTCTTCGACTATTGGGGTTTTGGAATAGCTGGCGGAACCCACTGCCTCAAATGAAATGAGGTTTTTCTGCCCAATAAACAGCCAATAAGAAGGTGTTAGCCTTACAACAAAACATTGATGAAATCACATTTAAATCATGGCAAACACTTGTTCCTCTCCCATTGAAAACCTTTCCACCAGGCTGACTCCAATAAGAGTTTTCTCTCAAAGACAGCTCTCTGACTTTTCAAAGCCCAAGCTTCGGCCAATCCAAATGTCAACGATCCAACCTTCCACTCATCCTTTTCCCAAATGTCCACAGTAGAAACGTAGCTCTCTTCCCTTCTCATGTTTTCTCTCACTAATGCAACTACTTCTCTCCCCATTCATCCCCAGCAGCAGAGCATCCCACTAACATGTGAAATGAGATGTTAAGCCAAAGATGTGAGTTATGAGCCTCATACTTCATTGTCCATAGCTGTGACCCTTAATCCGGGAGCCAGTCCAACCACTGGTTCTCTCATGGCTGTGTCATTTGCACCGGCCTCAATATACCAGCCATCCATGTAATTACTTCACAGGGTTGTCCATGCTGCTCCTCCTGCTGGTCTCCCAACTTTTCTGCCTCGCTTTGCCATCCCTGATTACTCCCCATGGCACACAGGGCAGTCACGTCAGCAGTTTTCCAAGTGACCACAGAACATCCTTCCTCTTTTGTCTCGCAGCTTCCTCCCATGGCAGAACATCTTGTTCAGGCAAAGTACTTTCCTCGTTCCAGTCTGCATTCTCTTACAAACACACCCCCATATTATTCTCACCTTTCCTAAGTTTCCATGCTCTGAAATATGTCCTTACCTTCATGCAATCGTACGACCATATTTCTATCATCTCTCCATTAGCCATCTGCTGCCGGAGGTTGACTCTTTTTCATGCATTGTCCGCCAACTGAGCATCTTGCAATTGCAACCAGTGAATGGACTTAAGTGCTCTGGAGAGGGATCACTCAATTCAGGTGGATTGCCAGCCTTCATTACCTTCTCCCTCTCAGCGAAGTCCAAATTGTCTAGACAGTGTGGACGTGATTCCAGACCCTGAGTGCTCAGATGTCTTTCATATTTTCTGGCAAAGTGAACCGTCTTGTCGATGGAGTTAATACACATTTCGAAAAGTGTTTTAAAATCTGACGCATTTAGACGCAGTGTCTGGGCTCCTCGGATTGTTCAGTAAGATTTCATTCTGCCTTAAATGTTTTAGAGAATGAGGAATCGTGCCAACTTGAATGCGAAATGTAACATTGCTTTCCCCTTGAAATACGTCAACGCAGCTCCTGCCAACTTCAGTCCATCTGTGTTGTTTACACTCAAAAATGTGTCTATCCATGACATATTCTTTCCCCGTATATTTCTGCTTGGATGTGTAGAATGATGAGGTATTGAATTGGACTAATGATAGCTTTGGTGGACATATTCTCCCTCCGTGGTGTATCAACTCTACAAACAGCTCTTATAAATATGTTTCCTTTCCAGAGGATTAAACATCTCTTTCACCCCTGTGATTGTTGTCCTCCTAATCTGGCATTTAGTGACTCTCCTCCCTGTGCCACTTACCTCAGTACAGACCACTACTTATCTATGTCGGAGAGCCCACTCCACTTCATTTTCATGTACCACAAATGTGCTGCGTAACAATTACTTTTGTATTGATTTTTGAGAATCAATTGTGTCTGTTAACTTTCCTTGTCTGCTTCCCCTTCTGTTTCCCCTTTCTCCCTCTCATCCTTCTCTTTACCAACTGTCTCCTTCATATAATTATTATCTGACTTTTCCTCATAATCCCCGCCACCTTTCATCCTATTTCACTCATAACATCCTTCTCCCTAGATTCCCCACAAATATCCTTTTTCCTACCTTGAGAAAAGTGTCCAGTGATCCGTTCTCCATGTATTCAGTGATGATCATCACTGGCTTGCCTAAGAAGACAAATATTCGGAATTAATTTAATGACAAAAACAATAATACATTAAATAAAATCATTTGTGATTGTATTATTTTCTCACTTAGGTATCAGCTATTTATATTATATTGTTTTACATATGCAATTAAATGTGGTACTGTACCACTTGAACACATATGGTATGTACAAGTCAGTAAAAGTTCACTTCAGAAGCACAACTGAGCTTGATAAAGCACAGTCGAAGCTGTCAGAGAAACATGTGAGCCTGACTGATGAAGAGCAGCTGAGTCTGATGGATGTTGAAAAACCGTGACAAAGACCAGCTTATAGACTGAAGTAGAGCTTCAGATTCTTCTACATATACACAGTACAACTGCCACATGAGAAGTCCCAGTAATCTGCAGTGTGACATGTGTTATAAATCTCACAGGGTGAACATTGGGCTCCAAACGAGAAACAGACATGCTGATGACTCACTCTTAGTGACCACGCCCTCCAGACGGATGATGTTTGGATGGTTGAACTGGCCCATGATGGACGCCTCCCACAGGAAGTCGCGCCTCTGCTGTTCTGTGTAGCCCACTTTCAAGGTCTTGATGGCAACCTGGATCTCTCTTTTCCCGGGAAGCCTCAGCGGTCCACTGCACACCTCACCAAACTCCCCTGAGGCAAAGAGATGGAGCGTGACTTTGGTCTCACACGTCGCAGAAGTGCAGTCCTTCAGTTAAGACCAAAGCTTTCATAGTAACCTAAAACTAATAAATTGAATTTTAAGGCGGCAAAACTAATCTTGTTTTGGATTTGAAAGTTAAGCTGTAGAGGAAGAGAACAACTCTGGAAGTTTTTTGGGCCAAATTTGAGTTATTACTGCCGATCAGTTCTCTATAGAATCTCAGAAGAACAAAAACAAAATACATAAACAAACATTTTTTAGTTTTCAAAATAATGAACAATGCTAATTTTCTTCTGAGGGCATCTTCAGTTATTTCTAAGCTAATATATATTTAGTTTAACATCTCCATCTATGGCTGTCCATTGTTTATAATGGTTGCTGACAGTTAACGTGCTACCACGGCCCAAAACATTTCCATTAGGAGAAAGGTGCTGCAACTTCAGAATCAATTCAAATATAATCACAAACGTCAACTAGCTTTCCGGTCCCAGCTGTGTGCATCACTTTTAAGTGTCCCCTGATTTCCGTTGTGTTTTGAGCTTCAGGCAGGGAATGTTTTTCCTGACCTGTCGGCCACCGTTGTTTATGTTGTTTGGCATCAGAATCGCAAAACAACCAAATGTTTGACTTCTGTATAAATACTGAACAAAAATGTCATTATCACTACAGATAGGAGCCTGGAAAGCAAATTAAATGTTTTACTAAAGTGGACCTATTTCACTGCTGATCAGCAAGAAAGCTTAAAGATGTTGCAAATGAAAATGTTTTTCAACAGAGCACAAACACCATTTATAGCCTTACGAGCTGTCACTTTCTTACAGTGCTTAGCTTAATTGAGTGTGTACAAGCCTGCTTCTATACAATGACTCCCAATTATAAATGTGACGGGTTGAAGAATATATGATGCCTTTTTATACAGAATAGGTAATGAGAAAATGGTTGAATTTTGACATGACACAATTAGGCTTAATGAATTACAGTTATAACTGTACATTGAGTGTGTGTAAATATAACATTGTTTAAAATAAAGATTATAATGTATTTTGTACCTGCTTGACAACAGAGATTCAGTTTAAAATGAACAATAATATATTTTGTGATACATTATTCTGGCCAAATCAGCCCCAGATGATGCTCAGGGCCAGAAATCACAATAATTATCTTTCACACGCACGCAGGAGGGACTCACCAGCTCCGATGATCCTCTCTATGGAGATGAATGAGACGTCAATCTCCTGAGCAAATTCATGCACCGCCTGGTTGGGATCTTCATAGGTGAGCGGGTCAATGTAGGTGCGCACGCCAGGGAACTTTACTGTGAACACACAGGCATTGCTTTATTACCATTTATGTGATTTACCATCATTAACATTTATTCAGGCTTGTATTCACATCAGAATACATCACTATTGAATTCAAGAGTAGCTTGATTTGTTTGTTTGTTGTCAAATACATTTATACTTAATGTTCTATATTATGATATTAATACATTAAATAATCAAATCTGTGATAAAAGATGTCATTCTAATTTTATCAACATTATTTCTTGCTTCTTATATTGTATATCTAACTCAAAAAGTCCTTATAAATCTTAAAACTGATTTTACAGGAAATATCGGAGGCAAACAATCAATTGACTGCTTCTCAACAACCATTGTCTCCTATCGGCTGCAGCAAAACAGGAGAAATTCCACCTAGAAATAATTATCTTTCACGATAAACTGAAGCATTTCAAAAATATATAAAGTAAAAATAACACACTTATTATAGAAAGTCTCAAAAATGACAAGCATTGCTGGGTGGGCAGGTGAATGTATTTTGCTAAAAATATATTTCCACTTTCCCGTATTTGCCCTTTCTCTCTCTCTTTTATTAAACATCTTTTATGAGAAATTATTTAAGAATTGGTGCCTATTCTATATACATGTAAACATTTTGACAATGATTCATGCCTTTTAATCATCCCAATGCTAAACATTATTTCAGTCACTTTTTGTTGCCATGATAAGTAAATAACACTTATTTTCAAATATTTTCTTTCATGACATGAATCAATATGACAGTGTACCACACATCCTGGCACTGATGTACCCGTCACGGTGGCTTCTGATGCCAGCAGATGGATGGCATGCTGCAACGCCAACAATTCAGCCAAATATATTAGGCTGTCATCCCTTATAAATCATCATAGCTATTGTGTTTCCTCTGCCAACATGGCTGCCATTGGTCTGGCCTGTAGCTGTGTCATTTAAAGAATAGCTCCGAGTACAAAACACTATCAACTGAACACACACAGAAGCGTGTGTAGGCTGACAGGGATGAAACAAAGTAATACAGACATGACCGCTGTCTGAACCCTCTACTGTACATGACCTGTTGTGGAAACTCAGGATGAACTTGCCTGCCAGCAAGCCACACACACACACACACACACACACACACACACACACACACACACACACACACACACACACACACACACACACACACACACACTATATACACTATATATTACGTA